TTTTTTTTTTTTTTTTTTGTGGAACCAGGGATTGAACTCAGGCCCTTGCGCTTGCCAGGGAAGCACTTATTCCACTGAGCCATCTCCCTGGCCCCCAATCCACCTATTCTTGAAGTTTATTTGTTTTTGGTGCTGGGAATCAAACTCAAGACCTTGCACTTGCTGGGCAGGTGCTGTGCCCTTAAGCCACATCCCCAGCCCTGAAGTTTATTTATATAAATGAGAAATGACTGAAAAGCTAATTGCCTTTTTGTTATCTAAGCAGATAAATTTGAATTTTCTCCCTTTATTATGATAACCAATTATAATAATATCTGTTCTATTATTGACCCAGCCCATATCACTTATAAACTCCCTGGCAGTGTATGTTCATCTCCCTCATCTTTCCATCTGCTCCTGTAATGTCCTAGTTGCTATCAGTTTTCTTCTGGTGCGTGCAGTCTTTGTTAGTATCTTCTCCTGCTAGCTTTCTAAAAAGCATTTTGGAAGCTTTACTTTTTTGTGATGCGGCATTGTTAAATAGTAGTGAATGATCCATTCTTTGAAACTAAAATTTACCTGTGAAGCTTCCTCTTTCTTGGGAAGGTGTCATTCTGTAACAATTTTCTCAACTTTTTCTTTAGCTTGTTGATGTTATCTTTATATTCTTGGCTCCATTTAAGTTGTTTTTCAGGTTAGCTAGATTATATTACAAGTCTGTTTTTCCCAACTTTTTAATATTGAGCTAACCTGCCTTGCGCCTCCCAGCACACACTTCACTCTCTTGGCTACCCTCCCTGCTCTGTTCCCGTCTCCTCATTTAGCTCTATGTCCCCTGGCCTTCTGGTATCACAGTTGCTCATGCTGAGACCTAAAACGTGCCTTCCCTAGCAAGAAGGGTCAGTGTGGGGTGCCATGATACAGGTGAATGTGGAGATCTCTGGCCTTCCTGAAACCCTTTTCAGCTTTCTCTGAGCTAGTGAAATGTTCTTATTGTTCTTCATAGACTGTATGTTTGGGGATTGGAACAATATTTAGTTTTATTAAAATGGGTTTTAAGTGTTTTTATGTTCCTTAACATTTTTGTTTCTTTAGGGGATCATGGCAGAATTACTTTTATTCTACTTTTAATGAAATATTTGATTACCTCAGACTTCTTTTCCTAGATTTTCTTAATCAAATTAAAAGTTGTATGTTCCTAGTTCTAAAAGTAACTATTTCTCAAGGCTTCAGTTCTTTTTATATATGTATGTGTATTTAAGGGGTGACTAATGTTTTTTCTGATCATACAAAAGTATTTTAAAGGTAGACTGTATAAAATTTGTAATATTCAAGACTAATAAAAAAAAATAAAAGCACCTTAAAATTTCACCACCCAGTGATAAAATGGCTCAAATAATGAGTCTTACAAATGTGGTATTAAGTTCAGGATGATTGTCAGTTTTTCCACCAGTTCTGATTTTTGATTCTGTCAAATTTAATTTTGTTTGTAAACCTTAAAAGATGTTTTCGAGTCAGTATTATAAATTGGTCTGACACATAATAAGTATTGAATTTGATTGGTAGGTAGTTCTCCTTTATGTACTTAGGGTGCAATTGGTGAGACATAATGAGGAGATGGTCTGACAGTGTTAAATGTTCATCTGAATGGTTATATTAACTGCTGTTAAGGTGCTGCATTATCCACTAACATGCAACCTCGTGTACAGGCTATGAGCAGAGCCCGGGCGCTGAGATCCCAGTCGGAGGACTCTGCTTCTGCCTTCAGTGCTGATGACTTCATGAGTATTGATCTTGCTGAACAGACAGCAAATGACTCTGATGACAGCATTTCAGCAGCACCCAGTAGAGGGAGAGGCCGAGGTCGAGGGCAAAGAAGAGGCCGAGGGCAGAACTCAGCCCCACGAGGAGGATCTCAGAGAGGTAGAGGTCAGCGCTGAGTACTGTCTTTTGTACACTTTCCACTTCACAGTTGAGTTGCAAATGAAGGATTGTGTCTTGTAATCAGAATTGAGCTATGAAGTTCGGCTTCTAAGACATAATTTCTTAAACATTTATTTTTATACTGCACAATGTCTTCAGTACAGTTCTAACGTATACCTCCGATACTAAAGAACTTTGAATGACCACTTGCAAAATAGGGTTTTGATTATTCATAACACATATTTTTAATGTGTAACATAATAATAGATATGAATTGTTAAGGAAAATGTCTAGCTAATATCTTCCAGATTATAAAAATGACATTTGTTACTGTCATAAGATAAAATACATGCTTATAAAATGGTCTCCATAAATTTATTTAAAAAGGAAAACTCCCTCAAAACAATTTCATTTCAAAAGGCAGTCATTAGCATTAGTCATAATCACTGTATTTAGTTTGACAAACAATAGAATATGGTCAAAAAGTCACTTTCTGATGTAGAGTATAAATTTTTATTTGCTTTCATTGAATAATTATCCATATGAGTTTTAAGCTGGTAAAATGAATAGTGTTTTATTTTAAAGTGTCCAGGAAAAACATTTTCCTTTCCTAATGATTATTTTCATTATCCTTATATTCACAAAATTTTTCTTTAAATTTTAATTGGATAAATGTGAGTCAGATGTAACCTAAAAGAGTAGTGTCTGAAAATTGACCAGAATCTAGATGTTTTTATAATAAATGCCATTGGCTTTTTGTAAACAGTTTCAGCATAACTTTATCTAGATCTCGTTTCTTTAGGTTCTACCTAGAAAGCCCACCGCTCCTGGTGGCATTGTGTATTTACTGCGTGTTACTCTGCTACAGGCACTGGTCCGAGCACTTCTGCACGGAGTAGGAGCTCACGGACTGCTGTGTCTGCCTGCAGAAATATGTCTATCCTAGACGGTGAGTACAAGCTACAAGTGATTATTTAGATGTTATTTATCAATTCTGACTTAGGAAGACAAGAAATTTCCTTACGTGTCCCACATTTGTTTGTATTGCAGTTGTTGTGGTCTTAACAGTTAAGATCATAGGATGCATGCAACGCTTTTCATGTGGATCAGAACTATTTAAGAGTTAGTAAGCTGTAATAGGTTTTTAAAAACAAGTGTGGTTTTACCTGTGACACAGGATTAATGACTGTATAGGAAAATGAAGCAGTGAGATGGAATGCGGGTGGATGGGAAATACCCAAAACACTGATTTAAGTTAATTAGTTAATGGCTTAAACCTGGAAGACTTAAGAACACCTTTGTATGCCCTCATTTTATGGATAAGGGAACTGAGCTAAGCCAGTTTGTCCTAGTTGATAAAATCACTAATATTATTAATAGCTAATATTTATGAAATACCTCTACACTGCTCTCTGCAGTAGGTATTTGTATTATTTGTTTTACGGATATGGAAATTGAGGCCTTGAAAAAATGGGAAACTCACCCAAGGTCTCACCACTAGTCAGTACTAGAGCTTGGATTGGTCCCATATTTCCTGGACTCCAACCATTAGTTGACCATGATACTATGAGGTATGGCCTAAAAGTACATGAATATTTAAATGTAAAACAGTAGTATAATAAAAGACATTACCATTACTCCACCTCAGAGTACTCCCCTTTACTTTCAGTGTGCATTCTATTGTTCTTAACACTTTCTGTAGCGGCTCTGAAAGTCTTCTTGGTATTGTTAGTTGCAGCTACCTTGATGTCCTGAATTCATTCAAAATGCTTACCTTTCTTGGTCATTTTGACTTTGGGAAAGAGCCAGAAGTCCAGTGGTGCCAGATTCATTGAATAAGCTCGGCGAGGACATGCCACAATGTTTTCATGAGTCTGCTTTCCCATTGCATGATTGTCTCAGTTGCTCTTCTCTCATTGCTGGGACAAATGCCCGACACTCAAACTGAAGGAAGGAGCTATGCCGGCTCTGCCCCTGCAGTGCACTGAGATGGCAACTGAGACTGGGTATGGTAGTGCAGGCCCATAATCCCAGCAATTGGGCTGTGTAGTGAGACCTTGTAGACCCTGTACTAAATACATCTTAAAAAAAAAAAGGAAAAGGGAAAAAAAAAGAAGGAAGGAAAGGCTTATTTAGCTCACAGTTACTGGAGGTTTCAGTTCATACTCAGCTGGCTCCAAGGCAGAGTGGCACATGGCAAAGGGCAACAGTCCATGGCGGCAGAAGGCAGCAAAACAGCAAGAGCAAAAGGGACGAGTGACAGCAACAGTGGCTGTAGAGAGCAAGTCTGTCTCCCTGTGTTGCATTCAGGCTCTCCACCCCAGTCTGGGCGCAGCACTCCCACCCACAATCCCATCGGATCATGAGTTAATCACTAACTCTAGAAGTCCACCCAATGACTGCATGAGGCTTTGGGGTGACAACTAGACACCATAACAATGATGCTTGGCAGCAGCACTCACCATATTTTTGATTATATATCATAAAGACACTCAGAAAGAGGAGTTCCAGAACTGCTTCAGAAGTGGCAGGAATGGTGGGATAGCGCGTATAGGAGTGATGGGGGTATAGCAGTGTGCCTTTCATTGTAATGACTGTATTTAAAAAGTTTTAAAAATCCATCATGTATTCTAATCATCTTTTCAGAGCAGGAAGTGTTGTCACACTCATAAAGGAAGTGTTTGACCTTGCTGAAATGACATCTGGCATTAGAGAAAGGACATAAACATCAAAATATTTAAGGCTTATAAAGCAGCTTCTTACTAGAAATTCTGTTGCTATCTTTTTACTCCAATATTATTTCATTGCTTCAGAAAACCCCCTAAGATCCTTAGCTTTTGACTTACAAGTTCGTCTGTATTACCATTTAGGGAGGAGCATTTAGAAAAAGATTTCATTCCTGGTAGATGGAACATAAAAGCAAAGAAGGGGGGAAAGGGAGAGAGAGACAGAACAGAGAGAGAGACAGACAGAAGGCAACGTGGTATATTATAGATGATCCAGTCTGAGTTTACCTCACAGTTCAATATGAAAAAACATTATAGTTTTGAACAAGCCTCTTACTGTCCTAAGTTACTTCACATGTAAATTGGAAATAATACATTCTGTATTAGATTCTAAGAAAATTAATGGAATAAAAAAACAGGCAAGGGGGCTGGTGAGATGGCTCAGTGGTCTGGAGCACCTCCTTAGAACAAGCTTGGCAAAGCCCAGGGACCACGGTTCAATCCCCCAGCACCACATGCCAGCCAGCCCGCCCCCTGGTGGACTGAGCTGGCCACACACACACACACACACACACACTCACAAATAAATAAAATTTATTAAAAAAAAACAAAAAAACAGGCAAATATTGTAGCAGGAATTTATGAAATGTTGCTATAAAGAAGTAAGAAAAAAAGGAACATAGTAAATGAGTAAAATACATGATAGTTCCATGTTAAATTACTAAAAGTTGGTTGACCTGCACATGATAGTGCTGTAGGTCATAGATACAGGGTTTACCTTACGTCAGCATGCATCTAATTCTCCTGGTTTGTTTTCTGTGAAATATTCCTTGACACTGAAGGATAGAATAAATCACTTAAAGTGAAATCTTCTAGTGTTGTTTAGACATCAGCTGTTAGTTAAGCTTACAGCTTTTCTTTTTTTTTTTTTT